ATCGTTTCCATATGCCCCAAACAAACCCCAGGATTTGTTTGTACTCTCTCCCACTTGTTTCCATGTGTTAAGTGTGACCGAGAGCCTGAGATGCACCTTTTAAAGAAAACCTGAAATAAACACTATCATGTGTGTTCCGTCATCAAGCTCAGATTAGATCTTTTATATTAAAATGTTTTGGGGTGAAGGAGAAGGGTCCCCAAGTGATGCCTCTGCCCACACAAATTTCTCTTTCCCGAAAATACCGTAGGAAGGCAAGACATCTGGAGGTGTCTGTATCTCAGTGCTGCTAGACAAGGGTAGGAATGTATGCAGTCGAGGAGCTTGTCGTGTCCGGCGTTGTTCTTAATTGAAAGCAGGGTAGTTAGTGGATGGGTAGACGGAGTGTTGTCAATTCCTATATTGCTTCCCGGGGGAAAAGCGTACGGTCGTTAGGACTGTGCTGTGTAGGGATAGTTGGACTTGAAAAGTGCAGCTTATTAGACATCAAACAGTTTTTCTTCCTCAGTTTGGGGACTGTATCTCTAGATGCAAAGGAGAAAGATAAGGAGAACGTGGTTTAGACGTGAAGTCTTCAAAGGGAGGAGACTGTTTCTTTTGATCTCACTTCAAAGGGGATGTGATTACTTTTTTGCTTGGACTGTCTGTCCAGTAGCCCCCCCGGGGTGCTAGGGCCTTCGAAACTGGGCTGCCGGGGAGAGCGAGCGCTCCTTCTGCGAGCTGAACTTCGAAAGAAAGAGGGTAAATGTTTTTGGCAAAGATGTAAAATCCCTATGCGCTTTCCGTTCCCCTCTGCAAATGCTTCTGAAGGATTGAGAGCTCCAACGCTGTTTTACCATTTTTATTTTATTGCCCATGTGATAATATATACCTTACACTGAAAAATGCAAAGACCTTTTTGTCTCTTCGGCCACAGGGGTATTGCTGTCACTGCTGAATTTACTGCTTTAGAACTTCCCAGGGCTGAAGTTCAGCATTTCTTGTGGCAGGCCCCTCTGAATGACACCAGGTCCCATCAGCGCCCTGGAATGATGCTGGTGCAATCTAAAAATAGGCAGGAGAAGAATAAGCCTAGATGTTGCTGAAGTGATTACGCAGTTTAATTTGTGAGCTCAGAACAGGTTAATTTATTGTCGTATGTTATCTTAGGAGGCTGCTTCGGTAATCTCTCAGCATTCCTGTTACAACCTTCTTGTTTACAGCTACATCACCACTTGTCGTTTAAAATGTTTTTAGGCTGCAAAAACATCTCTGGTGCCATCCTGACATAATGTATTTGTCTTGTTATTTCCTCAGGAGCCCTAGACTTTGAACATATTGAAGAACAAGCTGAAGGGATCTTTGGTGGAAGGAAAGTATCTCTTCATTAGTGCTGATCAAGGGGTAGCTCAGCTGTTGCCAGGCTGCAGCCCTCGGGGCTCCCAAGGAGTGGGGTTTGCAGTTGAAAGGGAGGTGGTAATGGGGGAAAAATTGGGAACAGCTGCCACAGTTACCTAGGCTTTATTTTCCTGAAATGCCTTTGATACAGCTCAAAGTAGTGTCCATTTGGATTAAAAGCCACAGATGAGCGACAGGGGTCCTTCAGCCAGAAAGATCTTGATGGGAGGGCTCACTTGTGTGGGTGAAAGCCAGGCTGGAGGATTAGTGCATCTAAGCTGAATGCTGCAGCAAAATCCTAGGTGGAAAAGCTTGTGTAGGCAAGGACTGGGACTTGTACTGAGACAGATATATATTTAGCCATCTTTTTTTTTTTTTTTGTATAATGCAGCATTAAAGTACACATGCATGACGGAACAAGGCAAGCTGTACCTTCCATACCTGCCTGCCTTCCGGAGCACCTTATATCCTTTCTTAAATCACAGGACAGCAAGTCAGTGACGGACTCCAAGTAGTTAAGCTTATCCTGATACTCCATCCACTATCTGCCCCCACTATTGGGGCACCATGAAGCTGTATGTTCCAACTGTCCTTAAGCTGCTCAGAGCTGCAGTTGTTTTTTATAAACCTAAGATAACTGATTTCTTAAGTGAAGGCAGAAGGGGAGAGAGAGATTCACTTACAGAATTAATAACCAGAATTTTTAATGTAAAAATGCAGACTCAGTTGGAAGCAGAATACAGAAAAGATTAAGGGGGCACTGATAGGAAAAAACCCCAACAAACATGAGTTTCTCACGCTCAGAAAAGAGGTGCAGGGGAAAGAGAAGAGGAGGATTTCAAGTGCTTGACAGAATTAGCAGTGCAGCCTGGGTACTGAGGTAGGGTTTTATTTCATAAATAGTGAGAAAGGTTAGTACCAGGAATGGGCAAGAACTGAGCAATAGGGTGAGGCTGACATAGGGACAAATATTTTGGCATAGTTTGACCCCAGAAAATGTACATTCATGTCAGCTGAGTGAACCATGATTAATGAGGTTCTGGAGTAGTCTCCCTTTTAAGCAGCACACCAAAAAAAAAAAGCCCTGCATGTCTTAAGATAGTACTTGATTTAATAAATTTCCCCCTTATTAAAAAGTAAGAAAAAAGGTTTTCTGCCACCACTGACTGGACTTAAGAACCTGCTGGGACATTCAGTCTAATATGCCAGTTAACTCCTACACTCTGTTTTCAGTGAGGAGAATACACCACTGGATTTGGATGATCACGGTGGCAGAACGTTTCTCAGAGTTTTGTTGCATTTAACAATGCATGATTATCCTCCTCTGGTGTCTGGAGCACTTCAGCTACTCTTCCGGCACTTCAGTCAGAGACAAGAAGTTCTTCAAGCTTTTAAACAGGTATGTGTGTGTATTAAGAGTGTTATTCCTCACCTGAATCTATATATTGCAGCTAAAAACAATCCTTTTGTGCAACTGATGGGTTGTATTCATGTAAGGTTCAACTGCTTGTTACCAGCCAAGATGTTGACAACTACAAGCAGATAAAACAAGATTTGGACCAGCTGAGGTCTATCGTGGAAAAATCGGAGCTTTGGGTGTACAAAGGCCAGGGCCCTGATGAGACTATGGATGGAGTGCAAGGTGAAAATGAACACAAGAAAAAAGAGGTAATTAGATTCAGTTTGCACAAATTAATGTGTTAATATTGTATGAAAACATAACTGTTTCCAGAACTGTGACTAAAAAAACCAAACACTTTTCCAGCACACTGCAGAGCCTGATGAGGCTATCTGAACTGCTTTTGGACTGAGGCAAGACTAAGAGGAGAACTTGAGCCAGTTGATGCCAGTTAGTCTCAGGTGGAAACTGCTCAAGATTAGAACCCACTGATGTGTTATCTTTAGGCTCTAACAGAACAGTCAGTTTGGGTTTGCTCTGGCTTCTCAGTTGTGTCCTTTCAGTGCTGACAGCTTGCATGGTTTTTATGTGGTCAAAAGTACCTCAAATAGTGTAAGGGCAGAGCTGTGAACTGTTCAGATGATGCATTTTGAATCATGGCACTATTATTAAATGGCAGAAGAGAAACAGTGCTTAAGACACGTGTTAAAAGTTGGTGCTTTATCTGTACGTGGTAATACTGGACTTTCCTGGCATGCACATCTGGCTTAGAATTAATTAAACACAGTTTGTCCTAGTATAATTTGCAATCAAATAGAAAAGACGAAGTGAGGGAATGCAAGAAACAGTCCCTGGGTTATGAACATTTATTGTTGGAAGTAAACAGAAGTAATTCACTCGTTGCTTTCCTAGTGTGTAGTTCGGTGAGGTATCTCTTGGTATCTGTGCGATGACAATAATAGTCGAGAGGGAGAGAAAGTAAGAAGGTTTTTTGGGGGGAGACTTGATTATAGACAGAACGTGACAAGCAAAGGAAAGGACAGGAGGTTGCTGTCTGTAAAATCATCCCCCCCTCACCTTATTTTATGGTATAGAGGTCAGTGTGACTTGACAGGATAATTATATGTGTTTTTCTGAGACTGTCAGAAAATTGAAGGATGACACTCATTTCCAGGAAGAGAGCACGCACTATCCTACAAAGGTACTTTTAGCCTTTATGAGGACAACACTATAGGCTGGTAATAAATTGTCTCATTTTTATCCACAGGAAGGTCACAGCAAGTCCCAAAAACCTGAAAGTACTAGCAGCTACAACTACCGTGTAGTAAAAGAGGTAAAACTTTGCTTCTTGATGGTTAAATGGAAATGTAAATGAGTAACACAGCTCTGGAGAGCTGCAGTCAGAGGGAGACACCCAGGAAAGTCTGAGTCACTCTTCCATTGTGGAAACTATTTGCTGAGTAATAACATATCCCAACTAGAATGAGAAGCCAGGAATATAATAAGTACGACATGTATCTTTCCTTAAGAATGGATTAGTGTGAAACGCAACATTTTGCTGCTGTTTCAATGGTAACACAATATTTTCATTGTTAAAGGCTACGAAGGAAGCAAGCAAGTGGAGAAGCTATTTAATTTGCCCTGTCCCACGTACCTTGCACTCAAAACCACCGTGCTGTTGAAATTCAATTTTAAAAACACCAGACAAAGAGCATGCGTTGGCGTGGTGTTAGCTAATGGGCTTTTATTCAGGGTTGACTTGGCACGGCTGAATTCTGCAGGACCAGCCCTCGTCAGAGGTGCAATGGATGGTGCCCAGGCCAGTAGAGCAGCAGACGCGACGACAGTGCCATGGCCACGCTGCTTCCCTTGCCTGTGCCGAGTCCCCGGTGGGATGGCGATGGGCGTGGTACCTGCCGGTCGAGAGGGCGGCAGACACCATCACTGCCGGTGAGCAGTGAGCTCACTGCCATGATGCGCCACCACATTTCCCGGTGGCTCTCGGTTCCAGCTCGGTCCTTTTGCACTTTTGCTGATGTTGTAGGAGCAACCAGGCCTTAGACTGGTCTTATCTCCTCCCATCGAGACCACAAAACTTGATTTTGCAGCCTAGAGCTGCTCTGGTCTGTGCGGATGCGTTTTTCACTGTTGCTGCTCTCTGGGAGCCGCCTGGCATGTCCTGAAACAAAGCCCAGAATTTCAGCTCTAAAGCAAGTGTCTTCTCCAGATCCTGCTGCGGCTCAGCAAGCTCTGTGTTCAGGAGAGCGCCTCGGTCAGGAAAAGCCGTAAGCAGCAGCAGCGACTTCTGAGGAACATGGGAGCTCATGCGGTTGTGCTGGAGCTGCTGCAGATCCCTTACGAAAAGGTTGGGTTTCTGTACAGCTGTTACCTTGCTTCGTGTCATGTTGATGGTCTTTTAATAACTCCCTTGAACCTTCCTGAACCTTCCACCTTTATATTGGATTCAAAGAGACTATTCTAACTATTCACACTTCAAAAATAATTGAGTCTTTGAATATACAGTGTTATGTACTGTTTCCTGGGGATATATTTGTCTGTCTTAGCTCAGGGTAAGACCAAGGCACAACTCTCAGCTTTTCACGGGAGGTGTGTGCTGCCTTGAAGTTAAGCTGTGCAGGTGGAAGCAAGACCCTCATTATTGCTACGAGGTAGCTGTATGACAGCCATTCCAGGAAGGCTAAGGAAAACGAGGGTGCCTGGTCCCCTGGTTAGAGACGTGGATCCCACCAGTTGTAGAGTCCCAAACTCCCCTTAGAAATGAATAAATATCAACTGGCTTTCCAGGTGAGGACTGCTGTTCATAATTAGCCATACCAACGTGCCATGTCATGTCAGTGGTACAGCTTGAAGCCCACTTCAGGTTGCTGTACGGTTTGAGCGTGCACAGAACGGTGTTGTGCTGATGAAGCACACCCTAAGTTCATCATGTTGGCTGCCCATTAGTCACAGGTGGTAGGTACTTATCAGTGCATAGGTGAGCGAGCTCTTCACATTTTCCTGGTCACTCTGCTGTCTTCTGTTCCAGACTCTACAGGTTTCTGAGAACCGGTAATTCTAGACAGTAGTTTCTATTAACGTTAAGCTAAGTCTCGTGCTGTCTTGCTTCATATTTTGATAAAAAATCAACAGCAAAAACACCCTCTAACACCTCTTGTCAGCTTTCTGTCCTATGCATATGAAAACGTATTGGTCAGGCAGTGTGGAAGGTGTTTCACCCTTGGAAATATATGAAACTCTTTAAAAATAAAAGCAGACACTAATTTTCCGAACTGCATTTTATACCATCAGTGGACTGGTAATCCACACTGATGTCAGAGGAAAGGCACCGATTCCTGAACTGTACTTGGAAGCATGCAAGTAGTGTGTGGATTCCAGTAAATATAAATTTGGCTTAACTGTTGCAATAATAACTTTCCATCTCCTCTTTGCCATGAACTACCTATCTGCATTTCAGTGGAACATGGCAATTTTCCTGTGTAGCCCCAAGGTTACGATGTGTGGTTTGGCCAATATACTGGTATGTTCAGAAGTGTAAAAGTGACTAAAGCACGTTGCTGGCAGGCTTGGCCATGGAACATGCAATTTTAGAGAATAAACTACTGTAATTTCTATTATGGTCTTTATTTTTGATGATCTTTAAAACAGTGAAGCAGGCCAACCTCATCCCTAATGTCTGTGAACTGGGTGGAGGTTTGTTTTTCTTTGGAGTGTGAGAGAGACGTGACAGTTCCCTTGCAGAGCTGGAGCTGTGGCTCATCCAGTACTCACCTGAAAATGAACCTTCAGATTCTTTTTAACCCCATCTTACTTGTCATGCAATCACAGGCTGAAGACACGAGGATGCAGGAGATAATGAAGCTTGCACATGAGTTTTTACAGAACTTCTGTGCTGGGAACCAACAGAACCAGGCGTTGCTGCACAAGCACATAAACCTGTTCCTTAACCCAGGGGTAAGAATAACCTCATGCCACGATGTATTTTTTTTCTAGCAAAAAGAGAATGAATCGTCCTTGGTGATCGCCTCTGGGCCTGTTCTGATGCAAGAGTGGTTGGAGGGGTCACATTTTGGTTTTGTTCTAAAGCCTTGAAAGTTGGCAAGATCTGTTTGTTTAGGACCGTTTCAGTGTAGAAAGTTCAAGAGGCTGAAGTGGGCTGAAAAATAGGCTTGGATACGAGCCATTGTGTTGAAAGATTAGATCCTCAGAAATGTTCTCTTCAGTCCTGCACCCTGCAGGAGTGTTGACTTTATCCTGACCTCTGTGCGGGTTTGGTGGTTTGCTTATTTTCTAATGTCTGTCTGTCTTTCATCCCCTCCATTAGATTCTGGAAGCAGTAACAATGCAGCACATTTTCATGAACAACTTCCAGCTTTGCAGTGAGATTAATGAACGCGTTGTTCAACACTTTGTCCACTGTATAGAAACACATGGCAGAAATGTTCAGTACATAAAGTTCCTGCAGACAATTGTCAAGGCGGAAGGAAAATTCATTAAGAAATGCCAAGATATGGTAATGGCTGAGGTGAGAGCTGCAGAGATTTGCAAGGTCTGAACAGAAGTTTTCACATACCATTTGGTGAAAATGACAAATTGATCCTCTCGCTTCTGGGACTGCCAAGAAGCTGACAGTTAGCTCGCTCAATGCAAAAAGAGCATACAGCTACCAGAAAGCTTAGGCTTTTTTGTGACTAAAAGCTTTCCAAGCTATTCACCCATAGGTATAAGGAGTGGTCGGTTATTAATGATACTTATAAGTTGCTTTTCAGGCTTCTACACAGCAGCATATAGCTGGGCCTATGAAGCATGGGTGCCTTTCTTTAGCAAAATTGTTCAGAAGAGAAATAGTTTCATTTCAAGATCACTGATGCGGAAGGAAAATTTTACCATGAGAGTAGTTTGATGGGAGTTTCTTATCTTACCAAGACCTACATATTCAGCTGTTTCAGTGCTGAAAGGGGGAGAAGTCTGAGAGTCTTCAGAAATTTCAGTGTGTGGGTAACTGGGAAATTGGGATGTCAGGATAAAAGGGAGAGGTAAGAGAAAGGTGAATAAATCCCTTTAAGTTGCATATTGGACGTGATCTGTTTGACAGCATGTTTGCATGTCCGATGGGAATTTTATTGGCCTCTTCAGCAGGGGGAGCCCAAGGATCAGATTTGTCAAGCTCTGGCTTTTGTGTATCAATCTTACTAGATTGATGAAAAGTCTCACGTATTTTGTCATTCAGTTCAAAAATGGTTTCATGAGCTTCTCAACATGGAATAGACCATGCGAGATGGTCGGCAGTTAGCTTCCACAGGGGTCAGCAGCTGCTGGGATAAGGGGGTTGCCTTGGGTTTGCCTTCTGCATTTTATCTGGCTCTTTGCCGCAAGCCCTGCGGGAGGACAGCCTCGCATCCCTCCAGCTGCGTGCTCACAAGTGCCCGGCCCAGAGCAGGTCTCTCTTTACTTATTCTCCTTTCCTTCATGGAGTTACGGGAGGTCTGAACTGCTCTGAAAATCTGGCCATCCGGGTCTCAAATGTGAAGCGGATAGAAGTCTTCAGAGTGTGACTTAACATGTCGCTCGCTAGCCTTGGAAAATTGATGATGTTTGTTCAGAAGGGTGGAATTACTGAGCCCTGCAGTCCTCCCATCCGGCGTGCCCCTGGGGCATTTCTCTGAACAAAACGGTATGTCTACAGCTAGCTGTATTAAAAAGTCAGCTGAGGCAATATATGTGAAATAAAAAAGCACAATGGAAAGTCACAAGCTTCTTGGCACAACTTCTGTCTAAGCAGTCAGTTGGACTGACTTTGAAGTTCTTCAGCAGTTCAGAAGTGGTAAATTCTTTAGGAGAAAATGTCGTACTCGAGCCCTCTGTCCCGTGAAGGCAGCCCAAGAGGAATGCCCAGCTGACTTGGTGGGCTGCGCTCCTTTTAAGTGTCTAAAGAATAGTTAATCAGGATTTGCGCTGTAACAGTCAGCCCACAGATTAGGGGAGGATGCTGTGGGGAGATGCACAGGCTTTGATCTGCTGATGGAATATTTTTCTTCCTCGGTAGCTGGTGAATGCCGGAGAAGACGTCCTGGTGTTCTACAACGACAGAGCCTCCTTCCAGACTTTGGTGCAAATGATGAGATCAGAGAGGGATCGGATGGATGAAAACAGCCCACTGATGTACCACATCCACTTAGTAGAACTGCTTGCTGTCTGCACAGAAGGCAAAAATGTCTACACAGAAATAAAATGCAATTCCCTTCTGCCTCTGGATGACATTGTTAGAGTAGTAACCCACGAGGATTGCATACCTGAGGTGAGGGCTGCTTGGAGGCACTGGCCTATATGTATTTGAAATGTGCTGGCTTGGAGTGAGAGGGATTTGATATTAGAGTCTGGCCTGGGAAAGGTGGTGGTGCAGGTGGACAGTAAAGCTGTGAGCTGGGAAACTGGATTCCTTCCCTGGTTCTGCTATTGGCAACCCCAGTGAATTTGGATAGTTAAGCTAAACCCTTTTGTACTTGTTTCCTTGCCCTTAAAATGGGGATGGGATGCTGTACTTCCTTGTTTTATAAGGTTCTTGAGGCAGCAAGGTTTATGGAGTATGCTGCTAACCTTGAACAGATGGTTCTGCAGAACTGGAAGTGATTATTATGCTGACGTTTTGTCTACAGTAATCCTGTTGTTTTTTTGTTTTTTTTTATTGGATGATGTCTTGCTATTCATGGCATTAAATTTCACCAGTTCTTAAAGAAAAGGAAGAAGTTGAATTACAAATGATTTATATAGCAGTTTTAATGTGACGTTATATTCATTCATAATGTCATTCAGGTTTTTATTTTTTAACGGTGATATTTTTTCTCTACTTATAGGTCAAAATTGCATACATCAACTTCTTGAATCATTGCTATGTGGACACAGAAGTAGAAATGAAAGAGATTTACACCAGTAATCATATGTGGAAGCTATTTGAAAACTTCCTGGTTGACATCTGTCGGGTAATGATTTCTGTATCTAGGAACAGAATTAAAAAAGCTTAAGTGAACCTATTTAGTATGGAGCGGTAAGAATAAGCCATAACAGTGCATCAAGGCAATAAGTACCCTGAATACTGTGTTCCTTCAAATTTATATGTGCCTTCTTTTCCTTATGCCTGTGGATTTCATTAGTCATATTCCATGGAACACATTAATATTTTCCTTTTAAAAAGAAAAAAAAAAAAAAAACCCAACCAACAAACCTCAGAGAAGCCCCACACCCTGCTCTTTTGTCTAATGCTTTTTTCTGTTCTGCCACCTGGCTTGCTTATTCTGGCCGGGATAGCGAGCTGCTTCCTGAGCAATAGTCAACGATTTTTGGCAGGTCAGGACAAATTTTTTCCAAGCTTGGCATTTGTTTGGCCATATGGCTTTTTGCCTGGGATTCCAAGTATTTCCCCATACGAAAGCATTACACCTCAGTTCTCTCTACCCTACTACTTTCTTTCCTCTAAGGCACTTCTTTGTTTTTTTCCCCTCCCTCCTAAACATACTATATGCCAACACAATAAAACAGTAACAGGCTTCTGCATTTGTATGTGCTGGAAATCCACAGATCCAAGTGTCATAAATATCACTGTGGCAGGGAATTGCTGTGACTAGAAGAGTGCGAAATCAAGAATTCCAGTCTGTAAGAGTTGATTAATGTACCTTGGTTGAGGCGCTTCTGACCTAAGAACGAATTGTCTTGCAGGCCTGTAACAACACCAGCGACAGGAAGCATGCTGACTCCATATTGGAGAAGTACGTTACAGAAATAGTGATGAGTATAGTCACCACTTTCTTCAGTTCCCCATTCTCTGATCAGAGCACTACTTTGCAGGTAAGAAAATGTAGAGAGACAGAAAAGTAAAAATATGCTGCAAATGCAATTTTGTTCGTTCCCCTTGGGATCTATTTACCAGTTAAAAAGAAAGGCGTGTGTTGTAATGGGGGAGCAGGTATGTATTCTTTGATGGGGATGTTTCCTTTGCTGTAGAAGTGGAAAGATGTATAGATCAGAGTACACCTGTTTTTCTAGAGAGGCTGAAGATTCAACTCTGTGCTACCACCTGAGATCACACAGGTCTTTTGGAGAGAATTTCTATGTGTCATTATCGGGTTGCAGGTGAGAAAAATCACACTGCAAGTAGGGAAATTAAGGATTTTTTTGTAGGTTCGTATTGCAGTTACATCTAAGGGCTCTGGTTTTCCTCTTTGTGGCCTTACATCAGAGTACAGTTGAATAAGATGATGTGAGCAGGTGTAGGAGTGCAAAAAAGCAGTTTTGCTCAGTGATAGTTTGGCATGCCCCCTCTCTAGCAGTGGTAAAGGTGGTAAAGCAGTAGCACAGCAACAAGGAGTTCCCCAGAGTGCCATGAAGAAGGCAAGTAAAGCTTTGGTGGCAGGCTTTCCAGATGGGAGGGGAGGGTGTTGCGTTACAGACGATGTAAAGGTGATCATTTAAAGAAAGCGTATTTTTAGAGTAAGATTCTAATTTCCTTTGAAACCAAAAAAATCCAGAAGCTCTAGTGTGTTAATGAGACACTGAGTATGAATGAAGTAATGAAGCTGAGTAATTTTTGTCTGGTTGGGGAAATGTGGAGGAGAAGCGTGGAACATTCGTGAAGTGACAGAAGGTAGAGATTTCCACTGCAGAACAGCAGTGTCAGGATGTTGCCCTAATATTTGTGTTGCAGCACAAAGATAACATCATGTATTCATAAATAACTTTTTGGGAGGAGTGTGGGTGGAGTGGTCAGGTGCCTGGCAGGTCTGTCAGAAGTTTGAGTATGGTAGTTGTTGAAACTTGATGCAACCTCATCATGCCAAAGGCAGTTGTTCACAGTGGAAACTCCAGGTTTGTAATTGAAGGCAACTGGCAGCAGGTTAGGAGGCATCTGGTTCCCAAAAGCAGCCATAAAGGGCATCTGGCAATTTGACGTGTCGGTCCCTCGTCAAAGAATTTGTGCTAACCCTTTGGGATCGTGGTGTGCTGCCTGGGTGACTGCAGTGCTCCAGGGAAGTGTCCATGAAACTGCTGCGTGACTGTGCCTCAGGTAAAGACTTCCTTCTGCTCAGTATGAGCAGCGATGTTCCTGCTTTTCCCTGATGGACTACATGTCTGCCCACTTTGAGTCAGGATGTGTATCGGACCCATGTCTGGATGACCGGTGGCCAGCCTGCTGTACTGGCTGTTGAGCATTCAACACAGCCCTGCTTCTCATAGGCTTCGGCAGCCCTCCTTATTCAGACAAGGAGACGCTGAAAGCAACAGAGCTGCATTTGGGATCGGCTCAGATGCTCTTAAATTGCCAAACAGTGGGCATTGCCTGGGAGAGGGCAGGGAGCTGCATCAGCTGTGTTTGAACTGAGCAGCTTTATTTAGGGTTCTGTCTTAACTCAAGGAAGTCTGAGCCGTCCCGCAGTTGATTTGTGCCTCATGACTTTCGCATGTCAGCCACTATCGTGGTGTCAGCCTCCACACTAGTTTGTCAAAACTTCATCAAAAGAAAGTGAGAAATTGAGATCATTAGCCTTGTCCCCCAGGGCTCTGTCCTTCCTCTTCCCTGTTATGCTTTTAATTGTGACATCTGAGTGTACAGCATTTGATCAGACTTTCTTACCATCATATTTTAGTGATCTTTTAATTTTACTTGTCAGCAGTTTCTCTTCAGTTTCTCAATCTCTCCCTCTGTCTAGCAGGATGAAGTAACTTGTTTCACCTCTCTTTTACCATCCCAGTTGACGGTTCTGTCTTATCCTAGATTCATCTTTCCTCTACATCTCTTAAGTTAAAAGCTCTGTTTCTCTCCTTTTTTTCTGCTTGTCAAGACTCTTGCCCATAACCAGGGACTCTCCCATCCGAGGAGTACAGCCCGTTGGACTACCTGGATGCGTACATCACCCCTCTGGGTGGGGTTTTTCCCTCCCGTCTGAGATGCTGCAGGGCAGTCTGCAGCCGCTGCTGCCTGACCTGGTGCCGCTCCACTCTCCACAGGCGAGTGACTGTTGCCACTCTCCTTTGCGTCGCTTGTGGATTGAGTCACTCCCCGTCCTTTCTGCTACACCTCGTCATCTCATTTTTTCCCATGCGAGCCTCTTCTTGTCTCATGCTCTTTCGTGTTGCAGCTTGTTTGACTTAAATTGTACCTCCTTTGAGTCAGGACCAGCCTTGCTTGTTCAAGGAACACCTTTCACGTCTGTCATGCGGTTCAAATAATATCCAATTAGGAGAACATAAATATGTCTTTGAAAAGAACAGCTGTCCAAAACTTTTCCTCTTTAACAAGTACTGTTTAGCCTGTTTGTCTCCTAAAGGAGTGCTGCTGCCCAAGGCTTTCCTTTGCAAGTGTAGTTGGAGGCATGTGGAACACGGAATAAATTTCTTATTTGATTTATTGACCTAGTTTAAGCAAGTGAAATGTCTTTGAAGCTTTTCAAGGCCAAAAAGTCTTTAAACATGGACTGAAAGGAATACATGGGTGGCTTACATCCAAAAATGCAGGTATTTTCAGTGCCCTTGGAGAATACTAGTCTGCCATGTTTTTGGTGTTTGGCTTATTTCTAGAAAGGATAATAGGTATTTGCCTCTTAGTAATTTTTGGTTCTTGAATTTTGGTTCTCCTTTTGTACATTTCATAATGGTGTTACTTGATTAATTGATCTAATAGATTTAGTTATCTAATAGACTTGCCTTTTTCATCTAACTCCACTTTTTTCTTACAAACAGGCATTAATCTTGTCAAGAATAAAAGAGGTACTTTTTCACTGGTTCCTAAGTCTTGTGGGCTTTGCACTGTGGTGTAGTTCACTTAGCTGATAGAAACATTATGTAGCTAGTAGGCACAGGAACACGGAGTATTCCCTCTCAATGTATGTTCCTTTGAAATACTTAAAATACTCTTTTGTCTACAGGTAAAATAAATGAATTGTTCTGCTAAGTAATTACTGTACAAAACCAAACAGGGAGTTTTGGTCGATATTGTTGGGATGCTGCAAAGATGAAAGAACAGAGCTCATGTGAGGTACTCCAACACACGCATGCGCCTATCTATAGTGGAAGATCACCTTGCGAAATACAGGGCTAAAAACCACACCTGAATTGTGGCTGATCCATAGCAGCTGCAGTGTTTACCACTAACTACTACCTGTCTTGGAAGTAACAAACACACAGCTGGTTTCTTCAGAAAATTACATACCAGCTAATAATACTTGAAATGATGAGTTTTCAACTCTGGAGCTGTGCTGTTGTTTAGCCAAGAGCAAACTCCCATTTACCTGTGGACTATTGAGTCAGCTACTGGTCAAGGCTAAAAGAAGAATCTCTATGCCAGGTTTGCTGATAAGTCTGATTAAACAGATGAAGATGACTGCTTATTTCCTTTGCTTAGTCAGGCTTCAATTACTTGAGGCTTTGTGCTTTAGAAGCTATATATTTAATACTTCCCTTCCAGCCTTCGTTCCCACCCTTCCCATTCAGTTGCTGATTGTGTGGTAGATATGCTGTCTACAACATGAAGTTGCCTAACAAGTGGATGCAGACCAGTTAGAGATGACTGGTGTGCAGAGAGTCATGGCTGAAGCTGGTATTACCTCGAGGTGACGCTGATACATCCCAATATGACGTGATGAGTTTGATTTTTTTCTGTTCTTTAACCTTTTGTTCTAGACTCGCCAGCCTGTCTTTGTACAGTTGCTGCAAGGCGTGTTCAGAGTGTACCACTGCAACTGGTTAATGCCAAGCCAAAAGGCATCAGTGGAAAGCTGCATTCGAGTCCTCTCAGATGTGGGTAAGAAACGGACGTAATCGGAACTAACTGCTGCAAACATGGTCATCCAGTATTCACAGCTTACACATCATCGTTCCAAAAAGAAACTGCAGTTTACGTCCCGCAGGTGCCACTTGCAGATAACTCGGAGCCAAGGCGTAGTACAAAGCCAGAGTTATATTGATATATTGTGGTGGTTGAGCAATAGGTGTTGTCACTGTAACCTGAAGTGCTTTCTCTGTTTAACCTCAAAACTCTCTGTAGTCTTGTTGATGTGCAGCAGGAAGATAATTCTGTGCCACTCCTCCCAGTAATTTGCTCCACTTCTAGTCGCAAGAAGAGTAATTTGTATTGGATGTGAGGCCAAATTCTGTTGGATAGGTATACATGTGTGTTAGCATGTGATGTTGGGAGTGTGTGTGTAAGGACAGATTCCTACTCCCACACTTTGAAGACAGTAAACAGCTCTGAGGTGTGAAAGCCTTTAACCATAATACTGCAGAGAGGTCTGACCCATTGCACAGGGACTGAGCATTGGATTGTTTAAAGTGCACACGAAGGAGATGGTAGAAGGAATTGCAAGTAGAGCTTGTCTTGTTCTTGCGTTGGTTGTAATACATGGGCTGAAGGAGTCAATTCTTACCAACTTCTGTTTTTTGCAGCAAAAAGCCGTGCAATTGCAATTCCTGTAGACTTGGACAGTCAGGTCAACAATCTCTTCCTGAAATCTCATAACATTGTACAGAAGACTGCAATGAACTGGCGAATGACTGCAAGGAATGCTGCCCGCAGAGATTCAGTGCTCACTGCCTCCAGGGATTATCGAAACATAATTGAAAGATTACAGGTGACTACACAGCACCCCCTCCTCCTTTGAGAAGCACTTACTTGCATGCCTACACAAAAGGAGGAATTTACTAAGTAGAAACACATTTGGGAATGAATTAACTAGTCAAAATGCCACATGGTAATCAAGTTAGCTGATGCTGAATATAATAATACTGTAATACTGTATAGAAAATCAAATGTAAACCATTGTATCAAACCAGATAATTGAACGTGCATGGCTAGTGGGTATAGAAGTGCTCCTCCTAGGAGATGTTGCTATTTGAAGCTAGTGGTGCTAGGTATTACAATGCCATTAGTAATATTTCTTGTTCAGACGGGACTTTTTCATCATCACAGCCTTCCAAACTCCTCCAGTGCTTTGCTCCTCGTATACCAAACCCCTCAGTATAAGGGAAGGTGCTGCAGCCCTGCCTGGAAACCACTGCAGAGCTTGAAATAAATAGATGTCTCAGTTCCTTGTGAACCAGTTGCCCCCACAGTCATTGCCTGAGACAAAGTGTGTGCATTCCCATACTGTTTTTGCTAAAAAGACTATTTAAACATAATGCTTCATGTTACAAATAGAGATTGATGTGGTATAGCTATATTCTATGCTCAAATCTGTAGGCAGTTCAATAAGGCCTTTTTTATACCAAATTAAGTTCATTATCTGAATGATGCCTTTATCTGTTGAAGATTCATTCTCTGATCAAAAGCTTTTTCTGGCAAACAGTTCTACCTGACTTTACATAAACCTATATTAAGTAATGTAAAAACACTGCCCAACCGACTGTCGCTGAAATAGCTTACTCCGTTCCTGTTTATTTGTGCATTTCAATTTGATTAAACTTACTCTCTGTCTTCAGAGGTATCTCAGTATCTTCTGCTTGTTTAAGTATTAGGATAAATGCTGTTTCATTTTAAGGTAGCTACAGCTTTCCAAACATCGATGCAAAGGGGAATAATTTTATTTTTTGCATCATTTTAACAGTAGTACTTTTTTGTCAGCTCATGTAAGTATTAATAACCTGGTCGTTATCACGGTTTCAGTGCAGCTCTGAATCTGCATTTATCTCTTTCCCCTATATGAACGAGAGCACCTCCAAAGATGGGTAGGGGAACTAAGTAATCTGAGGGGCTGCTGGAAATCAGAGCTTCCCTTTTAAAGACAACTATTAAATGACAAAACTGAAAGTCTTACCTGGCCATGCTTTGAGGTCTTTGGTCTAGTTTATCCAGGCAGGACAGACCTAACTGTCCTCTCCCTCTTTTGTGGTTTGTAAAATTAATTTGCGTATACTTTTAGATCTATTTAACGTTTATTTAAAATCTTGATATGATTATATTCTAGGACATAGTATCAGCTTTAGAGGATCGCCTACGTCCTCTTGTCCAGGCAGAGTTATCGGTTCTGGTGGATGTGCTTCACAGGCCCGAACTGCTCTTCCCAGAGAACACAGATGCAAGGAGGAAATGTGAAAGTGGAGGTTTCATTTGCAAGTGAGTTGCCCTGAAGTCTGGCTTGTTGGGAGGGTTTTTGTTACGTTCTGGTTTTTCCCGATTTTCCCATGCCCTATGGAACGGTGCCCTTTTGCCCAGCTTTATGTGAAGCAGAGTATTTCATGACACGGTAAATGCAATTTGTCCTGGGCCGGGGTTGCAGGGAGCGGGAAGCTCTTGCGGATGGGGAAAGACTGCTTGACGTGCTCTCACAGCTAAGGCTTAAAAATTTCTGGCTTTGCTGCAGGATAAAGTGTCATAAACAGTAGTATAAACAAGTAAAAACTTTGGAGCTAATCCCTGTTATTCTATCCGTGCCTTCAACCCTAGTAATGTTCGCAAGGTACTTGATCTTGTAGCACTTAGTGCTGGGGCCGTGTGTCGGAATCGGTGGCTACCACGTGCATCACCCAATGCAGATGTCTCCCAAGTTTGGAGGGAAGGAAAAGGAAAGATGACAAGGTCATTTAGAGGGCAATTCAGAGAGGACTCCAGCTTCTCAGATCACCTCCTGGAGGGCTGGATTATATAGGGAGTTTATGGAAACTAGGTACCAGCGTAACAAACAAATGCTGGGTAGGATGGATTTCTAATTGCGCTACCCAGGACTCTCAGTCTATTTTTTGACCAAGTAGTATGTGGATTTAACCAAGTATGTAGTATTTCTTTCTTACTGTTAAGTGTTTGTTCTGGAGGACCAGCAAGTCCTGAATCGCACTGCCCCGTCCCCTGATTCCTTTCTGCCTGTAGTCAGAGGGTTTTACCTGGCTGTCCTGCTGCCGGGGGGGATGCAGTTTGCTTCACAGCTTCACCAACGCCCATGATACCTGGTTCAATCTCACTCTTGAGACAGTGTTCCCAAGATGGTTGTATAATGGTACGATAATAAAACTTGTTTGCAGCTTAAACCGATTAAGTAAGATAGCCACGTATATCGTATCCCATTTTTAGAATATTAGTACTAAAACGAGCTGTGATTGATTGGTTATTTTCAGGTTAATAAAGCATACTAAACAGCTGCTAGAGGAGAATGAGGAGAAACTGTGTATTAAAGTATTACAGACGCTCAGGGAAATGATGACCAAAGATAGAGGCTATGGAGAAAAGGTAATGTAATTTACAGTTCATCATTCTGTGTTAAACACTGTCTTTATTATTCAGTAAAGGAAAATAAAATTCTCACTCTTTCAAGCTGTGTTTTGTATGTGTAAGCACTTCTGTACTGGATCAGGAACAAAACATTTTTAGTCAACTAATAACTTCAAATATAATTTGAAAGGTAAGCTTGTTTCTGTTGCTTTTCTACTTCAGACTTGCAAGTTTAAGTCTAATTCCTGCAGTTGTTGGCACTGTAAAAATACCTAATTTCCTTACCTTTTTTATAAGGATATACCTCTGTATTTGCTTTCTGGGTCTAAGTGACTCTTCATCAGGTCACATAACCTTAACAAGAGGATATTTTGTAATTTAATTTGAATTTATATACATCTGAGTCATCATCTTTTTGTGAATTATAGGTGGAAACTGTCTGTACACCCACCCATGTTTGCTTTTTTCCCCCTTTCCTACATACAACTCCTTTGTCTTGTTGAGAAGAGCGTTTTTTCTGTAGGTAACAGACCTGTTCTCTATTTGCATCAGGAAAGTATGTGCATGCCCATATGTTTGTGTACCTAGACATTCTTAAGTCAATCTGAAAATCCTAGTCTAAGGTATCTCATGCATTTTTAAGCAACCTAGGTTATTGCCATGCCACACGGGAGGTGTACAGAGCAATATACCCTCCCAGTGAACGTGCTCATGAGTAACTGAGAATTGGCCGCTGGGACTGTGGGGAAGCAGTGGTGTGGAAGGACGCTGGCTGCAACGGGGAGTCCGTGCCCAGGAGCAGATGGTGTTTCATATCCAATTCTCACTTGCAGTAGGGTTTAAAGCTATTTCATAGCACTGGATTCACAGCACAAAAAGGCAAAAGACAAAAAGACGATTTCATAATAATAATAGTTCTTCATCACGGTAGTGATAGCTGCAGTCACAAGGGAGGGAGATGCTCTGTAGAAGGAGGAACCCGTAGCATCGCTGGGCTCCCTGGCCGGCTGGGATGTCGCACAGCACCCCTGCTTTGGCCAGCCTAGCTGGGAATGAGGAGGATGACAGTGCGTGCTGCCGTACCGGGGCACGGGCACCTGGAGGAGGGAGAGCAAACGGAGCGAGGAGGCTACGTGCATGTGGGTGTGCACGTGCACGCGTGTGGGCTGCTACCCGAGCACACCCAGCTGAGCTCACCGCAGCGCTGTGAGCGAGCGGGAGACTCCTAGGAAAATGCCCGAAGGGCGGGGATGGCCGAGCGCACAGCAGCCCTGTTCCCTGTCAGGGAACACTCTTCCCACGTGCTGCCGCTACCTCTTGGCTGTCAGAGGTCAGCCCACCTCCCGGCCACTGCTGCTGCTTTGCTCTAGACCTGCAGTCCTACCTAGAGTTTGGTTTTGTTTTTTTTTTCGCTTTGCAGTAGCAATATTTGTGAACAAACTCACTGCCTGAGGGAATGCCCTCATCAGCCGCAAGAAAGAAGCGTATATATGCAGGGTGAGAAGGGGAGCAGGGTAGGTAGGAGAGGACAGCAGCCGCAGGTTTCTGCTCGCTTTCAACACATTGTCCTTTCTTGCTGAAGTGCCAGTATCATGTGCTGGGCTGTAACCCGTTCTGGGAAGCCCCGTGGTGGCCTTCTGTCCCCTCCCCAGCCCCGTGGCTACAGCTGGAAGTCTCCAGCCTCAAGGTCCCTGTGCAGACGCCTGCAAGGTAGTACAAGTCCGGTCTGGAAGGGGACGAGCTGCAGCCTGCGGGGGTCAGTCTGCTCCGGCAGAAGCTGGGCTAGCTGGTTCTTTTTAGCACATGTAGAGTGCTGATGCTTCCTGTTGCCCAAAGCTGGGGATGTGAAAGAGTCCGTGTAATCCCAGATTTGGTTTTATTAGTGTATCTGTGTACATACGTACTCCTGTTAAAAACAGCCAAGAGAGACTGTCCAAGGTGACCTGAAGGTAACATCAAGGGTGGATGATATATACTGTACACAGCAAAACCCTGTTGAGAGCTTTGAGGTTTTTTCTTTTAATGCAGTATGCCACCCAGAGATCTTTCGAAGTGGAAATTTAGTTATAGGAGTTCCTTAGATTATTTTTTTTGGTGCAAATTGCTGAAGCAATATTTCTAGACAGTGCAGCTAAGAGGACTTGTACCATTCAGACCACAGAGAACCCCACAAGATTCTAAAAATCTTCAAAGTGTAGAAAATGCATTAGTTTGTGAAACAGTAGATCAGTTACATAATGCAAGATAAGAACGTGCTTGCTTGTGAAGTGAACTTCCGAATATGAAAAAGCATCTGATTCCTTACAGATAGACTGCTAGTAGTAGTAGAACAGCTTTTACTGTCTGGCTGTGAGAAATGCAATTGTATTTTTTCTCCCTTGTGACTCATATAACTGTATTTAGTCACCACTTAAAAGGCAATACCTTTTGTTTTTAAAATCATCCTGAAGTGTTTAAAAAAAAGAGGGGGGGAGGGGAGGGAAAAACCTGCTGCACACATTCTAAATACAGGAGTCCCTACACACTGAAAGGTGGCAAAACTTACTCTTGTGGCCAGCATATCAGTCACGCAAGCGATACTGCCTGTAGGTCAGGTGTTCACAGACTTGACAGCAGTCACTTCAAAGTAGTCTTCAGCAGCAGAGCGCCATGGCAGTTTTGGCATAGTGTGCAATTTTGCTGCAATACCATGTGGTGCTCGCTGGAACCATCTGATTTATAAAAAGATTGTACTCCTCCTCTCACACTTAATCTTCCAGCAGAAATAATAAGTGCCACAGCCTCCTGGCCTGTGCTCTTGTCCCTTTCGTAGGTGGGAGACCTACTGAGAATGCGGTGTTGTCCGCTCCCATTAGCGAAGGCCTTCATTAAGCAGCTGGGATTCCTCTGCAGCATGCAAAAACCGTGGTGAGAACACAGATGTACAGAAGCCTGTGGGAAGGCTCGAAGTTTTACATATTGCTAAAGACTCCTCGTCTTGGCACGCGCTCAGGTTCGCTCAGTGATGGGTAGCATACTGTGGTATATTTAATAGGCAGAAAACTTTACTACATTGACAGTGTAGGCTAGACCCAAGTTTTTTACTTTGCTGAAACATGTCATTCATACACGTCTTCCTGGGCGCCCACCAGATGATTAGCCTTAGTTCTGCAGGACTTGCATTTCAAAACTCCCTTTCTCTTCCCAAACTGGAAATGGCAGCCTCTGCACTCCTGCTGCTGCTCGCAGCTCACGCTAGTGACGACTCTTACACCCAAGGGTGAAGTTCTTGGATCTCGGTCAGCTAGCCCGAGTGGTTTGTCACTTGGCACAGGAACAAAGCCAGGGCGCATCCTCCCTCCGAAGCTGCCTGGCGCAGCGTTTCCAGCGGTGTCGGTTCCCTAACCCGCCGCATCGCGGGCGCTCGCAAATGTTACTCGTGCCGACTGTAAAATACTGACAATGTTGGATTGCAGCATTAAAGTGTTAAATGATTTATAAGATCCTAACATGAAATTTATTTGCAATTTCTCTTACTAATGCCTGCTTTCAATTCTTCCCCTTCTTCTTTCTTTTCCGGCAGATTACCATTGAATTGGATAATGCTGAGGTTTTAATTTTATTTATTATCTACAATGTTGTTTCTATGGTGTTTGTTTTACAAGTAGCCCTGTGATCTGTCCTGTTGTCTCTTCAGCACCGAGCTTTCAGATTTGTCTGCCTGTGTCGGTGAATTAGTTGAGTTTTTCAGTCCGCCATGTGTCTATGCTGGGAATAGTTACCATAACTAATTCCGTATGTCATTACTTGGAGTATTAGTCCAAATGCAGTTACAGTTTCTGTCAGTCTGCAATCATCTGGTGCCACAGTAGATGCCATGAAGTTTAGGACGAGATCTGAATGCTTTTGGAGCACCAACTGCTGCCAGCACCGTTAAAACATCAGCATTTAGCACTCGGCCGCGATTACCGTGTCATGGGTGAGCAGGCTCTTTCAGCAAAACTAAATACTGAGGTTTAATGGCATCCACGCAAGTTGGAAGAACCTGCCAAAAGCCAGCTGGAGAAGACCCTGAATGAGGTGTCTCCGCTTGCTGACTAGCGACAGCCACTGCATCCCAGGGCACGGCGCCGCAGGGTGCAGGCAGGACTGCAGAGGATGGGGACCTTGTCCAGAGACTGTATTGCTAGTGTCACCCAAAAAGGTGACAGTCATGCAATTCATCAAAGCATCTCGCTGTCCTTCCTGGTGCTTCTCAGTCAAGGTTCGCTTTATAAAGCCACGTAAAAAGTGGAAGAGGTGTGGTGTAACCCTGTGAAAATTACGGACTTGTGAAGCTATTTCTGTGTGAAAAGCTTCCTACCATCAAAAACATGCCTTCAGTTGGCTGTGCAACAGCCTGGGCTGTGTTTATGCTGCATGTAGCTGTTTTACAGGCAGAAAAGCCATATTTGAGTGAAAACTTTCAGTTTAACTGAAATTAAGCTTTCTAAGGACTTTTAAAAGCAGTGCGTCTGGTTCGGGCACTGGCGCACGGGGTGGAGGGGGGGAGCTGAGCTGTCTCCGCTGCTGCAACTTCCTCATCCAGCTCAAAAAAACCCGATGTGTGGGTGCTAAATTTGAGATTCTTTTTGCATAAATGTGTAATACTGAGAAAGTGATTGACTGGCACCTTATTTTACTGAAATACCAGGAAAAAAAGAAATATTTTCCTCTGTGCTTTGTTTCCTGCATTCCCTCCCAAGCTAACCTTTTATTTGGAACAGAATTCAACCACTTAAAATGCTTAAAATGTTACTGTTCTTTATTCAATAGAGTAGATAATGAAATGTGCCATAAATTGCTTTCTGCAGAACTTGTTAATTTTGATGTTGATCAGCTGAATTCCCCTGGGTGAACTTCATTGTGAGAACCAAATAATATTTGGGGACCTTGCCTGTTGAAATGGATTTGAAACGCAAACTGTTTGTCACAAAACTAGACCGAAAAGCATACACATTGCCCCAGGGTTGGGTTGGAGGGTCTTTTGCGTTCAGTGG